CTGACCAAAGCGACACTACTATATTGTACTACACTATATTCTATTCACATTCATGTAAAGCTAATTAATTATATAAGTTGAATATGTTTAGTTACAGTTTAATACAAGTTTCAAGTATCGTTAATAATGTTAAGCATGTGAAAATTAAATTTCTAAAAATAATTAATTTCTGTGCTAAAAAAACAAATGGCAAAATATTATTCCAGGTATGGTAGCAGCTTATAAAAAGGAATCTTACCCTTCCTATCGTAAAAAACTGAAAACATTAAAAAAGATGCAAAATAATGGCAAACATGATTGGTGAACAAGCTGTAAGGAGTTTCTTACCATTTAAGTTACTATAGCAACGGTATGACTTGTAATAAAACACCCTAATTTAGTTTATAGTTCAAGCGCGAATTCTGTGACCCTTATTTTATATTGTCGAATTGTACTCAGCAAGTAAATATTCAACATTTCACAAAATTTAAAATAAATGATAGTGGACTGATGATGGATCAAAGTTCAGAGCAGTTAATTGGAATTAGCTGATGATGTTGAAAACAGATGCTATCATTGATAGTCACACTGTGAAGGTTACCATGGTCGCTGATTTTTTTCGTCAATATTTAGAAGCTATTCGATGCGTCAGTCAACCGATCTATCAACAAGTTACACCAGTTGTCACCAGTTATGCCTTTATTCTCACGCTCCGAAGGAAGGGAGCGTGAGAATTTTCTCAGTTGTACAACTTCCTCTACAAACTGATGACAGAAGTCTAGTTGGAGCACTTATATTTCAGTAACGGGTGTGTTCATCATTTTATGCATTCAGCTTTTTTATTTCCTACAATCCATTTTCTGTTGTTTGCCTGGCTTATATATAACCTCCTAATTAGAATTTTGTAGTTTCTAGGTAATCAACGAACTATGGTGGGACAAACGCCGTCCGACAAACTAACGTTCTCTGGTCTCTGGTAAAATTCGGCCATCGAGTCGCGCGCGGGAATGCGTGGGTGGAATAATACTGTACCATTGTGCAATACAAGACAGCCACTGGAGCAGTAGAACTCAGCTGGTGCGGATTCCAGGACTTCTTGCAAAGTTTGCAGCATCTTGTTGCTTCAACATGTCTGCTCTGTTCTGCGGTGACGGGTATGTTACAAGTATGGATCAGGTTTTGTGACTGCTTGTTTTGTACTTATAGTTCCACACAGTTTGAGTCTTTCGTACTCACAAACAGCTCAACGAAGAGCATGCGCAATGCCGATCGGTGATTCCACACGATGCTCGTGAGAATCTCGGCGAGTACGTTGTGCCACAGTGTAAGTACAATCAGACCGTCTAACCAGATTAATTATCTCTTGTACGACTAAGAACAACACAAAGGCCTACAAAGACTATAAAACTCAGCGTGGTTCTGGGAGGAAAACAGTAAGCAAGGACTTGATAAGACAATAGAGCGGCTAACTGGAAAAACCCTACAGCGTTAAAGACACAACAACCTTGCGTCCAACATGCGGTTTTGTGTTAAAATAGACAGAGAACCAGCTTGTTTTGCAGACAGTGTAAAGCTGCTTTTACGCGGAAGGCTAGAGATTCAGAAAGCTTCTGTTTAGGTGTGGAATGAGAGACCATTCGCTTAGTCCACTCGCCTTTAGCCGCATGTGAATTGAACAAGTGCTCCATGGAAATCAGAAAACTAAGCTAGCGGCTAAACGCAGTCAAAACGTTTCAACTGTACCCTATGTACAAGAAATTTAAGGGTGCAGGCAGCCTTGAACCGGCTAAAGGATCTGGAGCGGCACAAATCTCAGAAAAAAAAAATCAACTTTGTTAACAGAGCAGATGAACAACAATCTGATTATGGAAAATTTTGAAGTGACTGCTATATGCAGACTAAACTTAGTTGACACGACCTATTTAGCTCTACACTCTTAGTTTTCTGTCACTTCTATATCAAAATTACACGAGCTTTTGTGTTACGGATTAAAGCAAATGGCAATAAACATTTTTCAGTTAATAAATCACTTGCCACAAATGTTTATACTAGGGTTCACGGTTTAATAAAGTTTATGTGCTTCTGTCTGCTCCAGGCTTCGTTTGTTGACCTGACAAGTTCAATTACACGACATTTTGGAGACTAATTTTCCTGTTTGATAAAAATGTCGAAATACCTTAATTAGAGGCTTGACTTGTACGTGTGAGTAGCAATTGCCCTCCCACGCTTTCCTCCTCTATTTTCTACCTTCGTTAGCTTCACAAGCTAACAATTAATATTTTGCTTTGAGTTTCGGTTTTTTCCTAACCTTGTACTTTGCTGGAGACGAAGAATAAATTCGACCTGGAGTGAGGAATGCCTTTAGTGTCGAGATGGGGTTATATTTCATATAACACAGCTCGCTTTATCGTTTTTTAATTCACTCCTCAACCCGCGCTGATGGCAATCCGATCCGTTTAAGCCCAGCACAAAGTCAATTAAACAAAACCTCATGGTGTTTTCCTGACCTTTTGCGTCCTAACAATGTGGTTAATCCGGTACATTATCCCCCTGCGTTTGAAAACAGCATTACAGCATCATTTGCAGAAGTTGAGTTCGTGATATCATTAACATATTGTTGCTTAATTATAAAACTCTAAAGGTTTTCAAATTATTTGGGGAAGCTTGGCATAAATGCAGATAAATGATATAGACATCAGTAACAGACTGTGTTGTTGTTTTTTTTTCAGTGTATATGTAGCATTGTCGAATAAAAAACATCTATAGTGAGTTGCGTATAGGGTCAAATCCATTTAATACGTTATAATTAATTATCCGCTAACACAAAAGTCTGGTTTTTTTTTTGCTAAGACAATAGTCTTAGAAGGATTTCTGTTGGGAACACAATTTTAACTTTTTCCTTGCAAGAACAAGAGCGCTGAAACACACCGGCTTATGAATCTTTGTCCACCTTTGTGGTCAGGGATTTTAATAATCTAAGATTAGGAGAGAAAGAGAAATGCCAGAAATGTTGAACAATCCCGTCACTGAATAATAAACGCTATTGTGAAGAAAAGATTCATTCATTCAATGAAAGGATTAGTCAATGAAAGAAAGAGTATTTAGCTTTAGAAAGTTTTAGGAGCCGATGACAACTTACATCTCACATATAGTGTTACATTTGTTTAAGTAATGATATTACTGATAGAATTGACAGCATGTTACTCCGAGAGAGATGATGACCTTCTCACTTCTGAATACCAGTCTGCCTGGCAAATGTATTGAAAATACAGGGAGAAATCAACTTTTGATGAATTATTCGAGAGAAGCCTTATGGCTCAGCTTTATCAAGTGTAACGTTGTCCTGCTGCGATTATAATGAGTAAAATTAACAAATTAAATCCCTGCAGTTGTAAAATGACTCTTGTTTAAACGCTTAAGTTACAAAAGGGTTGGGATTTTTTTGCTTTATTATATTTCATTTATTTCTTTCTTTATTTTTTTTTTCATCCCATGAACAGTTAAATTAGTGACAGAATTGCCGCGGTGGAGGTAATCGCGCCAAGTCGGAAACAAATTTACAAATAAGATGAGATAGGCTTTTAGTAACCTAATAATTTAAGCCAGTTTAGACGATTCTTGATTGATGTTATTTTTGCCTCGGGCTTTATAGATTCATCTTAGATACTTTACATTCATTCTGTTTGCTGTCTGACGATCAACAAAGAACTCCATTCCACTGGTAGTTATAAACTCTCACGGGAACTTTCGACGAAAGTTTTCTAAACAGTTTCAAAACTATCACAAGACTTTTAAGTTCACTGTCAATTAAAGTGTTACAAAAGGAGTTCAGTTGCAAATATGTCTCTTATGCCTTTTACAAGGCAAGGAGAACAGTAGATCTTTGTTTGTTTTAATGTGAATGACTTATAATTGGGTTAGAGCATATGGCACGCGGACAATAAATTTTTCTTAAATTTTTCATGAACACACACACAGCGTTCTTGTTCGGACTTTGACAGGGAGTGCAATTCATCAAGAAATTTATTATCAAACAAACAATAGTTTCAAATTGTTTTAGACATAAGTTTTTCTCGCGGGAATGCTTGTTATTTTACAAAACATAAATGAGACATATTGATTTCCCCAGGCGAGGCGACTACGCATTGTAATGTGTTCAAGACAGTGGCGCGTTGATTATGTCCCCGCGATAATCTTTCCGTTTCAATCGTCTGTGAATACAGTATTACTCAGTGATATTCACTGAGAAGCCATTGGCGCTTGCACGATTGCAGTGCCGTCTAAGCTCACTTAATATTAGCTCAATTCTTGTTCATTCATCACTTTCACTTAGCATTTGATTTCAATGACACACGGAGCCGCCTTTTACAAGCACACTAAAACAAAACAGATGGCGTTAATTGGAGCGAGACGCAAACACTATTGGCTCTTCAGTGTTTGTGCATACTAATGAAATTCCGGCCTTATAAAGAATATCGTTACTCGATCGGATTGACCTGTCACTTGGAAGTCGGCGGTCACTGTGCGAGGCTTGTCTGAAATTTTCGTGTCCTTTGATCAGTTTCTTCAAGACGGCTAGGGATTCGCACTGCAAGCGATTACTGCCAGTTCACGATGATCCTATACGCTTTTGGTCTCTTACTTCTCCTGGGCTTCTCTAATGGTACGTAAGGTATTTTCACAGAGTTTAATGTCCTTATAAGTTTTCATGTATTCAGATATTTGATCTTCAGTCGCTCTTCGTTGTTGCCTGAGAATTCCATGGTGGTAAATCGCTGATTCTTTGCTAAATGAGCGACCTAAAACGCGTCTTTCAGTGTAAGTAATTGATCTTGGACCTAATGGCGTGTGCTGGGTGGCGAATAGTCCTTCAAAAACCAGCACAAGCGAGAAATTTTCCTCGAATTTCAAGAGTCTCGAAGTCTTGTTGTTCTTAGAGGTTATATGTCTCTCGCAGTCTCGATTTTTCCACAAAGCTGTTTCGGAGTCTCCGTTTGTCTGTTTAATGTATAAATGACATATGATGAACGTTTTTATTCTTAGAGTCTGGAGATTTCGCTCGCAGTTAAAACATGTACTTTGGAGTCTTGACCTCGCTATTTAAAAGTCAAAATGTCTCGGTCTCGCAAAGGAAAACACTAGTTTCAGTTTCGCTTTCTTGCAAAGTCTCGCATGTATAAAATTCTAAGGACCGGTCAGTCACGCCAAGTAACTAACGCCGGCATTTTTACCGCGACGACAGTGTCTTCTAGATTTATCTTACACAATGTCAATTCTTCAAACAGCTAGGGTTGTTGATTATCTATAACTATAAAACTATGTAGTTCTTTGCGAAATACAGCCATGTGGTCGATTGTAAATTCTTGTCATAATCCACTCTCTTTTGTTCTGTTCAAAAGATCTGCAGCCAGGGACGAACTTTTAGTCGCCATTCTCGGTATTTTACATACCCAAATTGTTTATTTTCCAGAGCTAATATACTTCATGACTTGGATTACTACTCGTAAATAATTAATGTTATCCAAAACTCACTGGAGAAAGCGAAGGAACGTGTAAATTGCAAACCATTTTTCCAAGCGCTGTGCGGTTGCCAGCCACGCGCCGCTGCACACTGATTTCAATGTGCATAAATCTTGCTCGCTGCAAACACTTGCAATACTCTCTTATTAAGTAATGTTTGTTTTGTCTCTAATACTTGTTTCCACCATTGACTTTTTCGTTGCTCGTTCACCAAGCTATATAATGAACTTTTTGACTTTGCTGTAGAATTGATCCTATTTAGTTTTGGCTGGTTTTGTTAGTTTTTGCTTGGTCTGGGTGTGGTTGAGACAAAATCAAACATCAAATTTAAATTCAAAGTCCGTTCAACCACAAAAGCTAATAAATATTCATCAAATTAAGCTCTTGGCAGATAGTTGAAAAGTTTTGGTAAACAGTTTTGACTAATAGTTCAATTTGTTATGACCGAGTCTCAGCTCGCACATTTTCTTTGAAACAATCCTTTGGTGTAAAGAAGATTTTTTATACCAAGCTTAAACGAGCGCAGGAAATTCAATGTACAGAAAGCGATGAAAATTCTTTTAGTCTTCCAAGGCAGCGAAGATTAAAAATTTTAATTTATTCCAAGATAACTGTGGCTCCCCACGAGGTCCATTGTTTTTTTTTGTGTGTTGTCCAAGAGTTTGAAGAACAGTCGCAGTAAAATTCATATCAAAGTGTAAAGAAAGAGCCAAAGGACATTATTAGATATGAGATCGGGCGCCTGATTGTGTGAAAATTTGAAGCTTAGCAAAGATCAAGACATCCGGAACACCACACATTAGCATATTATCGAAGCGTGAATTGAAAACGCCGACTTATGAATATTGAAGAATTTTATTCAGGCTTGTATCGATGTTTGTTTGAAGGCGGGCGGGTCTTTTGTCTTAAACCACCTGGCTTTTAACATATCGCGCACAAGAGTATATTATCGTCTCGCAAATTGAGCACTCAAATGCAAAATAAAAGCTTCCTTGCTTTCATTATGTCAAATACTCTGTATGCTGTTAAATGGCGCCCTGATAATATAAAGATATTCTTTTCCAAGTAAGCATCATTAGTTTTATAGAACTGTTTCCACAAGAGGTGGTGCACTTGAACCTCTACGTTTTAACGAATCACCCAAAGTTGTTGAGTTTACTATATTAGCCTTGATTAATTACTAAGCAAGTCTTGAAAAATGCAGTCATATCTATTGAAAATCAAGGAACCAGAAACCACTCGAGTCAAAAATAGAGTATTTGCTATAAAAGAATTTGTAAGTAGTCGGGAACTTTGCTGGCGTCAAACTCTGGACTTATCACCTGAAGCTGTGCTAGTTATGTCTGCGAATCGTGTCAAAGTAGTCTCCGCGGACCGCAGCTGATTGTTCGTATGTCTACTAGACCGTTTCCTGTCATTTATTAATGATCCACTTTTCACTGAAAAGACTAGAAGCAGAAACTGAGCAATGGAGTTTTGAATAAATTTCTAATGATTAACCGTACAACTCCACCTCTTCCGCACAAATGCAGTAATAAGGGAACATTTCAAATTTTGCGACACTGAAAAAAGGATGTAATCTGTCTGCTCTCACAAGGTTTTGACAGCTAGTTGCCTCAAACTAGTCGCTTTGTTGAGAATTAGCTATTTGGTAGCAAAGTTCATTAAGTTGATTCTTCAGTGACTTTGATCTAAAGTTTACAAAACTTAAGATCTCGCATCACCTTGAGTAAATTTACAAATCCCGCCCCGATACTTGAAGACAGAATTAAATTGGTTACCTACGAGAGATCTGTTTGCAGACCAACCTTTTGAAGAAAACAAACGAAGCGAGACTAGCTTATCACTGAAATCAACCTCGCGTGATCCATAACACACGCGAACCTACTGACTCTCTCTGGAAAAATTTAGACAAAACCCAATCCTTAGCTAGTTTCGCTCTAGAGACTCCTTTATCTCTATCATGCAGACATGGCAGATCTTGTTTGTCTTTAATGTATCGAGTCATGTTCATCACATGTTCATCAGAGAGAGAGAGAGAGAGAGAG